AAATTATTAACTGCTCAAATAATAAATTAAAATCTGTATTTAAAAAAACTGTGCTCAAAATAAAGCAAAATACCATTAATTAAGTAAAAATGAATATTTATTTATTTCACTTTAAAATACTGTTTGATTTTAAAAGTGAAACTATCAGATAACATATTAACATTAATTTGAGAAAATGTATTTTCATTGTAGAAATGAAAAATAACTATTAAAATAGCCGCCTAATTAGACCTGGTTAAAAATAAATCACTATTAATAATAATAATACCAAACTATGTGTTTAATAAAACTATCAAGTAAATATATGAAACTAACACCCAATTTAAATTAAAATTTCCCTCTAAATGTTCCTTAAAAGAAGCATTTTCACACCCCGTTTAAAAAAAAACCTTATTTGATGTTTTAAAGACATTAGCTGGTCTGTAGCTGTTAAAGTTTTCATGCTAACAGCTGTTAGCCACCGATGGTTTCTGACTTTTAACATAAATATTGTTCGGTGACTGAATTTGGTCTTTAGAAATAAGTTCTGAGGTGTTTAAAACAAAGTGGACCAACCTAAAGCCTGGTGAAGATCAGCAGGAGTTCTGCAGCTCAGAAGGTTAGCTAGTTAGCTTAGCCCTGTGCTACGTCGGACTCCAGCCGGAAGTTTAAGAACTACATAACAGAGTAAAAGCTGCCTTTTCAAATTAAAAGCCCGTTCAGTAAAAATCCAACTCTTAACATCTGATTTAAATCTGTTTAGAAATGATAACAGACGGACAAAATATGTGCGAGTTTTGGTATTTTAAATATTAAAATGCATACAAGTGTATTTCATGATTGTAAAAGAACAAATTTATGCAAAATAAATTTTCCAAATCCTTTCTTTAACTAATAAAACTAATCCTTACAATAAGAACCGTATGTTGGGAAACGTTAATTCCATTGACAATATCTACTGTATAAATAATTCGGATTTTTTATTTATTTATTGATTTTTTTACTCCAGTAGTAGCAGAGGTGGAAAAGGAGAAAAGATGAAAGAGAGGAGATTTGAATTTGGAAAATCAGACTTCTGAGCAAAATTTCTATGCATTATTAAGTTGTTATTATTAAGAGACAATATTTATACAGCAATATGCGTATAGAAAAAGACCCCTTTATGATCTGTGGTCGGAAAATTTAGCTTCTCTTATTTTATATTTTGATTAATGCTATTTACTCACTATAAAAGTTTTCACTCAGTCTGTTTCACCTGCGAGGCCAAGCAATTCTCCTGTGTGAGGGTGTTTTTAGGTAAGACAGACCTTATTCCCATAAGAAACCAGATTCTTTCTCAAGGTTTATTCATAACATGTTACTGTTTAACCAAAGTGTCTGTAATCTATTTTGACTCTGACTACTTTCCAATATTGTAAGCAGGAGGAAGGAACGCTGCCCAGGCAGAACAGGGCTGATTACCGAGCAATAATGGCCGTATGATGAACTGTTCTCTCTTTGCAAAGATAAAAATAAAGTGCCACCTGAGTGAAATCCATCAGTGTCAGTTTATTTAACTGGAGGAAATAGTTGGATACATTTTTCCCCACTACAGATCCTTAAGGAGAGAAGGAGAGAGGCATTATGAATACTCGGAAAAGGCTGAGGTAAAGAGAAAACAAAATCTATCCTAAAGGGGGCTTTGATAATCTACTGGAGTAGGTCTAAAAGCACAACATTCTTCAGCCAGGCCTGTAAAGCTCTTCTCTTTCCCTTTGTTCTTATTAGCTATATTTAGATGTCTCCCAAACGTCGTTCATGTCAGCTAAGATAATAAAGTAGGATATATACTATATGGGTATATATTTTATCTTTTTATTTTTATCTTTATCATCTTGTGCAGTTGGATGTGTACAGGTGCTGGTCATAAAATTAGAATATCATGAAAAAGTAGATTGATTTCAGTAATTCCATTTAAAAAGTGAAACTTGTATATTATATTCATACATTACATACAAACTCATATATTTCAGATGTTTATTTTGTTTAATTTTGATGATTACAAATGACAACAAATGAAAATCTCAAATTCATCATATCAGAAAATTAGAATATTACTGAAGACCAATAAAAACAAAGGATTTATAGAAATGTTGGCCAACTGAAAAGTATGAATATGAAAAGTATGAGCATGTACAGCACTCAGTATTTAGTTGGGCCTCCTTTGGCCTGTATTACTGCAGCAATGCGGCGTGGTATGGAGTCGATCAGTCTGTGGCACTGCTCAGGTGTTATGATAGCCCAGGTTGCTCTAATAGGGGCTTTTAGCTCTTCTGAATTGTTGGGTCTGGTGTATTGCATCTTCTTCTTCACAATACCCCATAGATTTTCTATGGGGTTAAGGTCAGGAGAGTTTGCTGGCCAATTAAGAACAGGGATACCATGGTCCTTCAACCAGGTACTGGTAGCTTTGGCACTGTGTGCAGGTGCCAAGTCCTGTTGGAAAATGAAATCTGCATCTCCAAAAAGTTGGTCAGCTGCAGGAAGCATGAAGTGCTCTAAAACTTCCTGGTATGTGGCTGCGTTGACCCTGGACCTCAGAAAACACAATGGACCAACACCAGCAGATGACATGGCACCCCAAACCATCACTGACTGTGGAAACTTTACACTGGACTTCAAGCAACGTGGATGAAGTGCCTCTCTTCTTTTCCTCCAGACTCTGGGACCTTGATTTCCAAAGGAAATGCAAAATTTACTTTCATCAGAGAACATGACTTTGGACCACTCACCAGCAGTCCAGTCCTGTTTCTCTTTAGACGCTTCTGACGCTGTCTGTGGTTCAAGAGTGGCTTGACACAAGGAATGCGACAGCAGAAACCCATGTCTTTCATACGTCTGTGTGTGGTGGTTCTTGAAGCACTCACTCCAGCTGCAGTCCACTCTTTGTGAATCTCCCCCACATTTTTGAATGGGTTTTGTTTCACAATCCTCTCCAGGGTGCGGTTATCTCTCTTGCTTGTACACTTTTTTCGACCACATCTTTTCCTTCCCTTCGCCTCTCTATTAATGTGCTTGGACACTGAGCTCTGTGAACAGCCAGCCTCTTTAGCGATGACCTTTTGTGTCTTGCCCTCCTTGTGCAAGGTGTCGATGGTCGTCTTTTGGACAACTGTCAAGTCAGCAGTCTTCCCCATGATTGTGTAGCCTATAGAACTAGACTGAAAGACCATTTAAAGGCTTTTGCAGGTGGTTTGAGTTAATTAGCTGATTAGAGTGTGGCACCAGGGGCCATCAATTTTGAACCTTTTCACAATATTCTAATTTTCTGATATGATGAATTTGAGATTTTCATTTGTTGTCATTTGTAATCATCAAAATTAAACAAAATAAACATCTGAAATATATGAGTTTGTATGTAATGTATGAATATAATATACAAGTTTCACTTTTTAAATGGAATTACTGAAATCAATCTACTTTTTCATGATATTCTAATTTTATGACCAGCACCTGTATATATATATATATATATATATATATATATATATATATATATATATATATATATATATATATATATATATATATAAAAAACTGTAACTGGAGCGTGTAACAAAAGTAATTTCCCTCTGGGATTATTAAAGTATTTCTGATTCTGATTCTGATTTTGAGGATTTATGTAGTTTCCTGGATGAGGGTGGAATTGAATTCCTTATCAAATTTATTTGGTACTGTAATGTTAAATAGTCGCTTTCTTTCTCCCATACATTTTTATTTTAGTAATTGTCGACCTATTCAAAGGAAATATTAAAGCAAAGTTTTATTCAAGTCTCTAATTATAGAAATAAATAAGGGAAAAAATCGAATCTAAAATGTTTATTAAAAGCTGTTTGCATGATTAGTTCACTTTTATTTTAATGTTTTAATATCTGACTTATATTTGTATATTTTCATAGAATTTGTATTTAGTATTTAAGGGAAATTCCGGGAAATTCATTATTTATACCTAAAACTAGTAGGTTCGCAGTGATTTAATGAATTCAGTGTTAATCAGTAAAAAAATTAAAAAATATAATTTCCGTTGAGATCACTGAGTCTGGGAGCGGCCATTTTTGCCCAAATATTGTAACCCCTCCCTCTTGCCATCTTCCAGCAGTGACGTCACGGTGCGGTAAGCCTAGCGCCATTCTCCCCGCTTTCCAAGCTAAATCAATGGGAACTACTAGACACATCTGCAATCAACAACAATTATTGAAGATTTCCAGAGGACTTCACCATTGAAATTCACCAGAGCTATAGTGAAACTGACAATGCCCACGTGCATGGCAGCTGGATGCTGGAATACATCGGGTAAAAGTGAAAAAAAAGAGTTATTCCACCTTTCTGATTCCTGATCCTCCACGGACGGGTTGGTCGTTGGATCGCCAACTTGAAGAGGGAGGATTTGCCATCGAACTTCTGGCCAGAGAAAAAACCCGTAATATGTAGCCAACATTTGGAAGAAGAATGTTTTCAAGATGACTTGGATAATAGCGCGTTGTGACAAACACCAGATACAGCACTGGGACTTGATCAACAGCCGATACCGCACCGTGACGTCACTAACCAGTAGGTGGCAGTAGTGTTCTTTGACAAACATGGATGCCTCCAGTAAAGCACATTCACATGAAAATTACTCTGAATTAAAAACACTGATCATTTATTGAACAGGATGGAATCATTTCAGATTTAAAGAACTTTCAGAAGTTTGGATTCTGAATATGACTGAACTTTTCTTTTAAATTTGCCAGATTTAAGTGATTTCTTTGACCATTGTGGGTTTTTCTTTCATCAAACAAGAGAAACCAAAAAATTTGACCATTATCTAATCAAACAGAGGAAATTCTTTTTTGTTAAAGAAATAACCTCAAAATATTTTTTGGGGGAAATTTTTATTGATATCAGAAAAAGAAAGATCCAAATTTCCCGCGGATCTCTAGCACAGTTTAAAATAAAAAAATAAAACAAAGAATAATAAATGGTATCAAATTTAACATAAAAACAGAAACAGAATAGAATATGAAAAAATACAAAACATTGAAAGTTAAATGTTAAAAAAAACTCCTCAAGCTTAAAAGGCTTAAAAGGGAGAAAAAAAATGGTTACAATTTTTAAAACAATATGTATTTAATGAAAAGTGAAATCCAAAGGTATCGGTTAGCATGCATGGGTAGAAAATAAAAAAAAGAAATATACAAATCTCAAATCTTACTACCTGAAAAAGTTTAAAAGTATAAAACATAAACTAGAAGCTAATACGCTCTAAACTCTCGTAGGATAAGAGAACAGGTTCTTCATGGATCGATGCGTTCACATGATCGGACAGCTCTCCATCCTGGATCCAGTCTAGAAGGAAAGGGTTAACAAAGTCAGAACGGGCCCCTCAAAGGCCCCTAGGGCCTCATTTATACCGAGGAGCCGCCATACAGGTGGAAAACGGGCTCCAGCAGAGCTGAAACTGCAGGGAATCAGAAAGGTGACCAGCGGCTGAAGTTTGGCTTCAGCACAAGGGCGGAGCTAAATGGGGGGCCACAGGTGGCCATGGCCACCCTTAGCCAACCATTCACCACCCCCTCTAATACAGACGGTGGAAGCAGTAATACTTTCAAGAGACATATTTAAAACATTTAAAATTTTCATATATTAACAATTACTTGACAAGAAAAACACTTTGTTTAGTTATGCTCTACTAACATTAAAGATGATAAGTACAGAATGAATGCTGTTTTCAGAGCTAGATTTTGTGTTATTTGGGGTAAAGAGAAAATGATGCGTCTCTGCAAGTCATCTAGGAGTCTTCAGTGAATTCATAGATAAAAAACTATTTTAATAAAAACTTATTAAATAATTAACTTATGTAGATATTAGTAGTTAACATGTAAATATAAAATTTATGCAGAATGATTAGGTAAGTAATTACAATGGAAAAGATGTTCGCTCCAGAACGCTAACCTGAAAGAATTTTATTCACTATACCAGAGGTTACGGATTAGCGGACCGTGGTCCAGATCCAGACCCAACCTGATTTCAAACATTTATAAATTACTGCATGTTGTCTGACGACAGTGTCTAATTTCAGTTGCGCCGCTTCTCCTGTTAATACGGTAAAGCCCTTCGGAGCGTTGTTTGGCTCAACCTGCTGCTGTGAAGCAGGATTCTCCACCATGAACAGAATCGACAATAAATCTGGATCCAGGGTCAAAATGAGCTCCTTGATATGTGCTTTAGAATGGCTTAGTCTCTGGTTAAACCCAGGTTTAAAGCCTTGCAGGGCAGCCTACATGAAAGGAATATTACACCCAAAACATGATTAGCCTTCATTTTCTACTCACCTCCATGCTGAACAACACTCTGGAGTACTTTTTTGATATCTCAAATGCATCTGGAGATCTGGGAGGCTTCTTGCTGTCTGCTGACATTCAAATAATGGAGGTCTATGGTGCCCGAGGCAGAAAGGTCCATAAAAGTCCACAAAAAACGTGTCAATATTCCTCCATACTGCTCGTCCAATGTATTCCAAGTGTCCTGAGTGGGTAGCGTCCATAATTTACTCGAAACGAAGTCATTTAGAATGTTTTTAGAGCATAAACAGTAGTGTATAGGATTTCCTAAAAGCGCGTTCACGAGTCTACGGAAACCGCGGCAGACCAAACCAGATGAAAGTGCGCATTCAGCGTCTGCTCTGCCGATAATGCAAGCATAGAAGAAGAAATGTGCTGTTTACCTGTGCAAAGAAAGAAACAACGAAAGAAAAATGTTTGAGGACTTCAGTGTTGAGGAAGAGCATGAGTTCTTTGCTGAGCTGAATGCGCACTTTCATCTGGTTTGGTCTGCCGCGGTTTCCGTAGACTCATGAACGCGCTTTTAGGAAATCCTATACACTACTGTTTATGCTCTAAAAACATTCTAAATGACTTTGTTTCGAGTAAATTCTGGACGCTACCCACTCAGGACACTTGGAATACATTGGACGAGCAGTATGGAGGAATATTGACACGTTTTTTGTGGACTTTTATGGACCTTTCTGCCTCGGGCGCCATAGACCTCCATTATTTGAATGTCAGCAGACAGCAAGAAGCCTCCCAGATCTCCAGATGCATTTGAGATATCAAAAAAGTACTCCAGAGTGTTGTTCAGCATGGGGGTGAGTAGAAAATGAAGGCTAATCGTGTTTTGGGTGTAATATTCCTTTAAGACAGAAAAAAGAAAGAAAGAAAAACGTTCAGGTGTTTTATAAAGTATGTGAATCGGGAAATTGTCTATATACCAAAGTGAACAATTGTTCTCTACTTCAAAAAACACTTTAGATTTTAAAATGGAAACATTTTCTATTTCATTTTTTTTAATACTATTTATTAAACATTCAATGTATAACATGGATGCATAAAAATCTCATTTTATTTCAGTGTTAAATTCTGTTTAAAGTAACAGATTATAATAAAAAAAGTCTCCAGACCTTTACTGGTTGATGATTTTCTTTATTCGGACCCGGCTGATTTTTAATTGGTTACCGCTGATCTACACCTTTTAACTAGAAAGCATGGATGTTTAAATATATGTGTCTATTTGTTAGCAAATAACTATAGGAAAGTAGAGTTTGTTTTTATTTAGAAAATATGGGCATTGTGCTCGTTAATGTTCCTGTAGGAAAGTGCAGAGGTTCTGGCACCTATCAGCTTTCAGCCACCCCTCAGTGTACGTTAGCGAGTGCCTGGCCACCCTTATAAAAACATTCTAGCTACGCCTCTGCTTCAGCAGCAGGCGAGGAGGTTTACCTTGCGAGGTGTGCTCGTGTTGAACACGTAGGAATGCGGCACTAGTCCCTCGGAGAGCCCTCCGCTACGGAACGAGCGGGACGCAGACGACACGGAGCAGTTGCTGGACTTGTCTGACGGGAGTCCACAGGAGCCGCAGACCACGGTTCGGCTGCGCAGGTTGTATTCGCCGTCTGCGCAGGTGCTGTGAGCCACCTGCTGGAGACGACAGGGAATTGAACCGGGGAAGCCGACCTGCTGCCTTGCTCGCTAAATGGAAGGCTGTGTTTAGAGATGAGGGTGTTTTTAGATCCAAGTCCTCTTACCATGTCTTCATCTTCATCTTCAAACTGAGTGCGGGTTACCTTCCTCATAGCCATCTCCTGCAAAAATAAAACACTTTTCATCAACTTCCTGTCTTGACGTTGAACTCAGGAGCTTCAAAGTCACCTGCAGACTGACTCCATAGATCTTCAGGTGTGTTTGGTTCCAACAAAGCACTCGGTGCCTTTCAGTAGGTCTACACCAATGGATCAATGTTTAAAATAATATTTAGAAAACTGAACTTTCTGTGTCTCTCTTAGCGAATTAAAGTCATCCTCAATTTGAATTCAGTTTATTTCTATAGCTCCAATTCACATCATGTCATCTCAGGTCACTTTCCAGTTCACCAGATCATCCAGTCAGATTGATTCAAAGTTTTCTATCTAAGGAAAACCAGCTGATTGCATCGACTCATTGACTCTTCAGCAATCCCTCACACTAAGCATGCTTGTAGCGACAGTGGAGAGGAAAAACTCCCTTTGAACAGGAAGAAACCTCCAGCAGAACCAGGCTCAGTGTGAGCGGCCATCTGCTGAGGCCCACTGGGGTTCAAGGAGACAGAAGCAGACATAGAAAAAGAAGCATAGATACAAAAGGCAACTGTCAACCAGCTCCACAGGCGGCCCCGTCCAGGAAACACACAGCCAGGCAGACGAGCTCCGAGCCAGCTCCCATGTCAGAGGATGAAGAGAGCACATCCAGTTAGTCACAGTCAGAGAAACAGGACTACACTGGAAAAAAGGCCAAGCTCCAACATCTAGAAACAAAGGTGTTGATGGCAGCAGCACAGCTGATATTTCTCTCCAGGATGGAGTCACAGCCAAACAGGAACAGACCAGATGAAGCTACTATGAGAAAAAGCAGAGAGAGCAGAACGTTAGAGATTGAACTAACAGATTCTGCAGAGTGGGAGAATAGAGATAGAATGAAGCAGAATGATGAAAAAGGGGTCCCTATGTCCTCCAGCAGTCTAAGCCTATAGCAGCAGAACTATAGAGATAGCTCAGGATAACCTGAGCCACTCTAACTAGAAGCTTTATCAAAAAGGAAAGTTTTAAGCCTAGCCTTAAAAGTAGACAGGGTGTCTGCCTCACGGACTAAAACTGGTAGTTGGTTCCACAGGAGAGGAGCCTGAGAACCAAAAGATCTGCCTCCCATTCTACTTTTAGAAGTTCTAGGAACCACTAGTAAACCTGCAGATTGAGAGTGAAGTGCTCTGTTAGGAACATAAGGAACAATCAGATCTCTGGTATCAGATGGAGCTTGGCCATTTAAGGCTTTATATGTGAGAAGGAGGATTTTAAATTCTATTCTGGATTTAACAGGAAGCCAATAAAGAGACTGCAGCAGCCCACACAATACAGTATGCTCCCTTATTGTGTGGGGTACCACAGGGCTCAGTTCAGGGGCCACTTCTTTTTACCCTTTATCTGCTCCTGCTTGGCTCCATAATTAGGAAGAACAGAGTCCATTTCTATTGTTACAGTAGCAGCCATTCAAAATGGCCCCTCCAAGTCAAACCCCAGCCATTGTACAGAACTTTGGTCCTTCGATAAATATTAAACTGTTTTATAAATAAAGTTGGATTAGATTGGATACCTCTCCACTGGCGCTAATGAGCGTGGTCTGGAACTGGTCCCCGGTTCCCCAGGAAGGCTGAGTCTTCCACACCAGGTCTGAAGGAGGATTGTGGACCCCTCCAGCGTTAGATGCCCAAATCTGACCACAGACAAAATGACAGGTTAAACACCTGAGATCTGGCTTTGCTGCTCCGTTTGTAAAGAGTGGAGATGCTGCTGACCGTGACTCTTTGGCCGGCCTTCAGGGTGAACTTAGCTGGGAACTTGAAGATGATGGGAGAGCTGGATCCAATCTGCCGCTTCAGCTGCCAGTTCCCCAAATTCTGATCCTACAGGAGGGACCAAACAAACGGGACATGAAACACCAGGAATGAAGTGAGGCAGACAGCAGCGTTCAATCTAAGAAACACCACCAGGGGGCGGTATGTTCCAACACAGGCTGCCTGCTCACAGGGAAACAAACAACAGATTTTTTAAATTCATTTTACAGTTGAAAAAGAGTTTAAAGCTTTTTTTTTTTTTTTTTTTTTTAACATGTGTTTGAGTCTGTGACCAAAGCTTTATTTCAAAGGTCCAGATATCCAGAGCTTCTGATGCCAAACAGAGCATCGCCTCATTTGACCAAAGATCCAGTTTAATTTGTCGATACCAAAGGTGTCAAGCAGCCGTTGTATTCATAATTTACAGTAATTAATAAAAAATACTGCTATAAACAGATTATTAAGAAATAATCCATAAACTATATAATAAGTAAATATATTTTGCAATAAATAAAAAAATAAATATACATATATATATATTTTTTAAATCTGTTTATCATGAAGTTAAGAAATAAATTGTAATACAAATGACAAAATAAGACAAAATAAAACCATTTTTATCATGTTGATTGTTGTATTTAATGGATGCCTTTTATTGTAATATTTATTTATTTTTTATTGAGAACATCATTTATTAATAACCTTATGAATGTATTTAATTATAAATGAAAGTGCAGCTTTAATGGCGTAATGAATTCTGATCCACTTTAACATATTTTATGGCTGTGGGAAGCGTTGCCTCCATATCTTTGCTGCTCTGACTGTTTTCTTATCTTCTTATTCTGCGTTCTTTTCTTATCCAATCCAATATTATTTATTAAGCACTTAGAAACAACCACAGCTGACCAAAGTGCTCCACAGAATCAATCAATAAATAAATTGTCAGGTTTCTGTTATGTTTTTCTTTTGAGTATTCAGTCTTACTTTACTCCTTGTTTTCTAGTGTTTAGTTTTCTTTTCTCCATGTTTTATAGTCCTAGTTATTTGATTATCATTTTGTTGTTATTTCCAGTTTTCCACGTTTCTATTTGTTGCTCTCTGCTGCCCTCTTGTGTTCTCCCTCTTCCCTAGCTCTTTCCCTCTTTTTTTCTGTGCACACCTTTTCCCAGTTTCCTCATTAGCCCCCTCTTTTTCTCAGTCTCCTTTAAAAGCCCTCTCTCTCAACATATTCTCATTATCAGTTCGTATGAAATCGTACGAAAAGTTATGCACACTATTTCGTGTGTTTTGGACGTTTTTCCTCAAAAAACCACATCAGTGCGCATGCGCTGGCAGACAGGAAAAAAAAGCAGATCCGCGGACGGACGTAAAACTGGGAAAAAAAGTGCAATCATCACTTATTCATGTCTCTAACTACGTTGCTTGCTGTTTTATATCTTAGGGTTAGGGCTAATTGTAATTTATATTCTAAATTCGTGAATGGTGCATCAGATGCGCATGCGCATACGACGAGTAAAACGTCCAAAACGTACGAAATTACGGTGCATAACTTTTCGTACGATGTCATACGCACTCATAATGAGAATACACTGTCTCTCTTCAGTTCCCCTTTGCTGGGTCCTCGTCAAACACTGCCAAACTTTGTCAAACTTCCTCCAACTCCGTCTTCCTGAGTCTTCCTCGTTGTGACAGTGATTCCCCTGATGTCTCCAAGGTTTCTGGTTCGTTTTGACTAGTTTTTATGTTTGATTCTTTTGGATTTTTGGACTCCTGATTTGATGCTTGTTTGGTCTTCGTTTTCATTATTGGATTTTTGGATAACCTGCCTTTGTTTTCAGTTTCCCTATTTAATTAAATCTAAAGAAATTCACCTCTGCCTTCCTGCCTCTGCTTTTGGGTCTACACTCCATAATCAAATCCTGACATAAATATACTATATAATTGTATAAACTGCACTTGATTAATTTTACTTAAGGATTTTATTTAGTCTTAGTCTTTTTCATATTTATTTTACTAAAGAATCATGAGTATGGTTTAAACCTCAGGGTGATACAACTTCATGATTCCTATCCAGATTCTGATTTTAGTCAATTATTCTTTACATTTGGTTTTCCCAATCCTAAAAAAAGTTTAAGAATCTGAAAAAAGTGAATTCTTGAAATAGTGATATGTACACTGCAAAAGTAGAAATCTCAATAAGTTATTTTTTTCTTAAAGTTTAGTTTAGTTTAGTTTATTTAGGATCCCCATTAGCTGTAGCAAGCTACAGCTATTCTTCCTGGGGTCCAACAACAAAACATGAAATAAAAAAATTACAAATGAAATAAAATTATGTGGACATTAAAACAACATCTCCCATAATAAATAAGTGCATTTTTCATTGAATTGAGGAGGTAAGTGAGACACTTTGCCAATGGAACAAGACGACGTCCTTTTAAAATAAGAAAAAACAATGTTATTGTCTTATTTCAAGTGCATATTATCTAACTATCTTATTTTAAGAGTAAAAATACTCATGCAATTGGCAGATCATATTATTTACCTGCTCAAAATAAGGGTAAATATACTTAGCCTACTTTAAGAATTTTTTACTTATTTCTGGATCGTTTTTGCAGTGTAGGCTTCAACCATTTCTGCTGATGGAATGAGTATCTTGGTCCCTTAAAATAAGATTATTATATACTGAAATAGTTTTCTTTTTTTATTTCAATCAAGAGTAAAAAATCTTCCTCCACTGTCACTTTGTTTTCCTTCTTAGCTCAAGGAAGCTGCTCACTTCCAGTTTGATTTTTTTCTTTGTGATTAAAGTTTGATTTTTCTGTTTGTGTAACTTTCAGTCTGTCTGTTGACCTTAATGCTCAACAAAAAGATGAAAATCCTTTAGATCAGGTTTTGATGAGGATCATCAGGATTGTTGAGCTCAGGCTCAAAGTTCAGGGATGCCAGGACGGATCCCTGAGGAACCCCTTCAGATGGATTTCCAACCTCCTCACCTCATCTGCTTTGTTGCTGAGGCGGACATACTTCCCCTCCAGGTCCACCTCGTCCACAGTGACCCGGCCGCTGGCCGAGGCCTGCTGGGTAATGCGGGTACGGGCAACAGCTCCGCCGGTGAAGCTGGACGCCTCGCTGTCGGTGTCGTTGGGGCGGCGCCTCTTGGCGGGGGAGCTGCGAGCGCTGCCGAGGATGGAGCGAGAGTGACCAATGGAAGTGGAGGAGCGACTTCCTGTCACTCTGGTGGGAGGGGGGCTGGGGGAGAGGCGCAGCCTGCAGGGAATGATGGCAGGATGAAGAAAGTGGAAGATAGTTTCAAATCTTCAGAGTGCGGCTGGAAGCGTACCTCTCCTCCTCGCCCTCCAGGAGCTTCCTGTAGGCACATATCTCCATGTCCAGAGCCAGCTTCACGTCCAGCAGCTCCTGGTACTCATCCAGCTGCTGCTGCATGCGCTGCCTCATCTCCGCCATCTCCCGGTCCTTCTCCCCCAGCAGGCGGCGGGTGGTGTCCCGCTCCCTGGACAGAGCGTCCTCCAATTCTCTCAGCTTCGCCTCGCGAGCTGCCAGCTGGATCAGAGTCAGAGATGATACAGGATGTAGAAAACCAGTTATTTTTCTACAATTTTAGGTTGATTTCATTTTCTTATTCTGAATATTTTTAGAGGATAAGTTCCTGTGAGACTAAACCAACCTGTAGAAAACATTTAAAAAATCAGGGGGGGGATTTACCATTAGGCAATACTAGGCAACTGCATAGGGCCCCAAGTTAATGGGGCCCCATAAAACTATGTCTACATGTTTGGTTAATACAACTACTGCTTTTCTTTCGCTAAAATGACATCAGAACGGTTATAATATTAAAGGGAAACGCTGTTTTCTTTACATTGGGTCCTTGATTTTCCGTTATTCCATCATGTTCTACTCACCCATATGAGTTTAGTTTCATTTGGAGCCGTTCTGAAGATATTCCGTTAGGTTATATCCAGTAACGTCTTCCTATGGGCAACGACTTGAAGGTACAAACTAAACTGTTCATCATTTATTCTTTATGGTACGCCAGCATTCAGAACATGGAGGCCAATCACTGTCCCACAGACATCCCTGCTTAGATTTTTGTGTGATTTATGTTTTAAAAACAAAGCGGAGTGTGTATGACATTATCTAGAAATAGAAGAAAAACAAAAACTCTAGCCGGACCCTAATACTTCGTCATAGTATAATGGGGCTGTTTTATGTGTTGTCTTCTCAGGTCAGAGGGCCCCCTGCCTGTTTTTGCCTAGGGCCCCACATTTCTTAAATCTGCCCCTGCCTGAAGGCGTCCTTTAGTCAGGTGACCCGAATGTTCCAGCAGAATGCTCTATAAAGTTGATTGTTTGAAATGTTGTGCTGGTCCTGCTACCTGTTTCTGCAGCTGGCTGAGCTGAACAGATGTGGACTCCAGGCGGGTCCGCGTCTGCTGCAGCTCCTCGTGTGCAGCTCCCACCAGGTGGCTGCTCCTGTCCGCCGTCTGACGAGCGCTTTCCAGCTGCCGGATGGAAACACAATGGTGGATCATTCAGAAACAGACCATCCTACACCGATGTTTGTCCTCCAGTTCAGATTTTAGATTTTGTGTATCTGGAAGCGTTTACATCATATGTTATGATGTTAACATACATTATATGTTAATTTTATTCATTTTTTGTCATTGTCAAGACTTTTTGGTTAAATCGTAGTGAACGGTAAATTTATGTGGAGTCTAACTAAAACCTTTCTGTATGGAAGAGAATTAGGGCCACTCAAAAAAGAAAAGTTAACTGATTTTTAAATTTTATTTCAGTAATATGACAAACACATTGGTGGAAAATGACGAAATTAGGCAACTTTTTACGTGCCTGAGGGGTCCCCTCATTAATGGAGGAGCAGAAGGTCATTAAAACAAGAGAGCTAGTCTCTAAAACAGACATGGCTATGGCTTGATGCTAACATGTTTGTTATCTGTTAGAATTCTGAGATTAAAGTCAGAATTCTGAGATTAAAGTCAGAATTCTGAGATTAAAAGTCAGAATTCTGAGATTAAAAGTCAGAATTCTGAGAAAAAGGTCAGAATTCTGAGATTAAAGTCAGAATTCTGAGATTAAATTCAGAATTCTGAGATTAAAAGTCAGAATTCTGAGAAAAAAGTCAGAATTCTGAGATTAAAAGTCAGAATTCTGAGAAAAAAGTCAGAATTCTGAGATTAAAGTCAGAATTCTGAGATTAAATTCAGAATTCTGAGATTAAAAGTCAGAATTCTGAGAAAAAAGTCAGAATTCTGAGATTAAAAGTCAGAATTCTGAGAAAAAAGTCAGAATTCTGAGAAAAAAGTCAGAATTCTGAGAAAAAAGTCAGAATTCTGAGATTAAAAGTCAGAATTCTGACTGAAATGAAATATAAAAATCAGTTAACATTTTTTTTTTCAGTGCCCCTAATCCTCTTTCGTATTTTTGTCCTTACACTGGAAAAACGATGTCTTTAAATTAAGTGTATTTACCCTTAATTTCAGTAGGTAAATGTGATAGTTCACCAATGGAACGAGTATTTTTACTCTTAAAATAAGATAATTAGATAATATTCACTTGAAATAAGGCAATGCAATTGATTTTACTTATTTTAAAAGTAAATCATCTTGTTCTATTGCCGAAGTGTCTCACTTTCTTCCTCAATTCAAGAGAAAAAGCACTTATTTTAAGAAAAATGACTTATTTAGATTTAATTTTTTTTTGCAGTGTATAAATTTGATTAAACTTCTTACACAACTCTTTTTCAAACTCTTTTTTTCTCCTAATCATTGTTTATGCATATGTGAACATTTGATCTTTAATCAGTTGATATGCGTCAATCATAATATCTATATATATTTATATTTTAGAATTAGTTTTGGTCGTTTAAGCGGTTGTGAGATATAAGAGATTATTGTCATATTATCTCTGACTCGTCTTTCATTTGATTAAAATGACAGCAGCTGTTCTTGGATCAGAACTGTGGACTGATCCAAGATGGCCGCCCTCAAGGCACATCAGCCCGCGTCCAATGATGCGTCTACGTATATAATGTCTATGAGTAGAACACCTTGGTTCTGGTCTTATTAAAGCATTCTGTTGCAGACCAGTTTCAGTGTTTGGGTTCTGCTTGATGACCCAGTTTGGACTTTATCAGACAGTTAACTGTCTGCAGAGGAGATTGTGGTTTAATTAGTGTCTGCGGGTTCTGGTGCATCTCTAAAGATCTACCTTTGCATTGTAGGTCTTCTCTATTTCCTCCTTGTAGAGCTGAACCTGCAGCTCGTGCTGACTCCGCATCTCTGCGAGCGCTTCCGACAGTTTGCTCTCAAACTCCTGCTGGTGGCCGCTGTCCAGCTCCACCATCCGGGACTCGTGGCGCCTTTTTATCTCCCGCAGCTCCTGGTAAACGCGAAGAGAAGAAGAATAAATCTCTGCTGAGCTCGTTATTAGACGTTTATGTTGGAGGAAGCTGAACCTCAGAGTGAAGGTTCTTCTGAAAGTCCAGCTCCTCTTTGAGAGTCTGGATCCGGTTCTCTCCATCCACCCTCCGCAGCATCTCGTCCTGCAGCTGCTTCTTGGCATCTCCCAAACTGGTTTCCAGCTACGACACAAGAAGGAAAACAAATGCCTTTCATGCTGAAGACCAGAGGAGGATGAGAAGGTTAAGGTTCTGTTTCTGGTCCCAGAGGTCCGGTCTTACCTTAGCCACCTGGGCCTTCAGGTCCCGGTTCTCAGCATCCAGGTTCCGTTTCTCTCCCAGCGCCGTCGTCAGAGAGGCGTCCTTGGAGTTCAGGAGAGCCTCCAGGTCCTTGAGCCTCTGCAAGGCTGCTGCCAGCTCCGACTCCTTCTTGGTGTTCCTGCAGAGACACAGAGCGCCGTGAGCTCCGGAGGAGTCGGCGGCGGCAGAACCAGGACAGGTTTTCTCCTCATTCATATCCTATGAGCCAACAGTTTAACCCAGTCAGCCAGTAGATGAGATAAATATAAACATTTTCCAGATCTCGGGAAGTCAGAAGGAAGCAGCCTGTTCTCACTGTTTGGTTTTTGAAAAAATTATACTTAAAGTCTGATAAGATGGACGATCAGGACGATGTAACCCCATCGTTAGCTTCTGCATCAGAACCTTATAAACATTTAATGGTGATTATTAATGTTGCACCGATGCCATTTTTTTGGCCCTGATCCCTGGCTGTGCAGTATGGGCCGATACCATCTGCTTGAAATTGATGTGGGTGTCAGGAATCCAGTTTGTGTGGTCTGTTTTTGTGTTTCCTTTCCTCCTCCACCAGGTGGTGCCCCGTCCTCATTGGGTCTCCCTGCACACCTGCAGCTCGTTGCCTCATTACCTGTGGAGTGTTCTTAAGCTGCTGACTGCCACTACCTCGAGGCCAGAGTGTTTGCCAATACAGGGTATTCTAGCCATGCTTAGTTTAGCAGAGTCTAACCTGAGTTTTTGTTTGCCAGTTTGGGTACTCTAGCCAAGCAGAGTTTTTGTTGAGTCAAACTGAGTTTTGTCAAGCTGAGTCTTAACTTTGTTCTTGTCTTTGTCTCTCGGCAGGAAGTCATCCTGCAAACTGGATTTGTTCGGACCTTCTCTTTCTGGAAGGATCAACTCAGCTTCTAACTGAGCTGGGATCCCAAACAGGAAGTTTGGATCCATTTTCCCCAAGAGGTCGTTTGAGCTTCACACCGAGCAAAGGTTTCATCTGTTCCACATCCCGTTCAAGTACCGCAGGAAATTTGAGTGGCAGTCAGCTTCTCCGTTCACTCCAAACAGGAAGTTTGGATCCACTTTCCCCAAGAGGTCGTTTGAGCTTCACACCGAGCAAAGGTTTCATCTGTTCCACATCCCGTTCAAGTACCGCAGGAAATCTGAGTGGAAGTCAGCTTCTCCGTTCATCTAGGAACAACTTAAGTCTGAGTAAACCCCATCCGCCCAACACCAAACAAGACAATCTCTGGAACCTTCCCTCACAGACTGGATTCCATAAAGGACATCTTTTCCTGGAGAAGTGAGTCTGCAACCTTTTCCTCCAATTCAAAAGCAAAGATTAAAATTTCCCACTGAGCCTGAACTGACCGCAGTGTCTTCCCCTCACCTTCCAGTTCTGGTTTGACGGTGTTCAGAGCAGCACTGGATTCATCACATTATTCCTAATAAACCTGTATAAACTTTTCCCTGGTCTCTGTTTGGTCTTCTGCATTTTTGGGTCAGAACTTTAATAGAATCATGACAGTGTGTGTATATATGAAGAACTGCACACTACTTGGATGTAAAATAATTGCCATCATGGCTTTGTCAAGCTGCTGCCTACCTTTGTGAAGCAGGAAAAAGACTAAAACAAAGTGAATCCAGTACAGGTGCTGGTCATAAAATTAGAATATCATGAAAAAGTAGATTGATTTCAGTAATTCCATTTAAAAAGTGAAACTTGTATATTATATTCATACATTACATACAAACTCATATATTTCAGATGTTTATTTTGTTTAATTTTGATGATTACAAATGACAACAAATGAAAATCTCAAATTCATCATATCAGAAAATTAGAATATTACTGAAGACCAATAAAAACAAAGGATTTATAGAAATGTTGGCCAACTGAAAAGTATGAACATGAAAAGTATGAGCATGTACAGCACTCAGTATTTAGTTGGGCCTCCTTTGGCCTGTATTACTGCAGCAATGCGGCGTGGCATGGAGTCGATCAGTCTGTGGCACTGCTCAGGTGTTATGATAGCCCAGGTTGCTCTAATAGTGGCTTTTAGCTCTTCTGAATTGTTGGGTCTGGTGTATTGCATCTTCTTCTTCACAATACCCCATAGATTTTCTATGGGGTTAAGGTCAGGAGAGTTTGCTGGCCAATTAAGAACAGGGATACCATGGTCCTTCAACCAGGTACTGGTAGCTTTGGCACTGTGTGCAGGTGCCAAGTCCTGTTGGAAAATGAAATCTGCATCTCCAAAAAGTTGGTCAGCTGCAGGAAGCATGAAGTGCTCTAAAACTTCCTGGTATGTGGCTGCGTTGACCCTGGACCTCAGAAAACACAATGGACCAACACCAGCAGATGACATGGCACCCCAAACCATCACTGACTGTGGAAACTTTACACTGGACTTCAAGCAACGTGGATGAAGTGCCTCTCTTCTTTTCCTCCAGACTCTGGGACCTTGATTTCCAAAGGAAATGCAAAATTTACTTTCATCAGAGAACATGACTTTGGACCACTCACCAGCAGTCCAGTCCTGTTTCTCTTTAGCCCAGGCAAGACGCTTCTGACGCTGTCTGTGGTTCAAGAGTGGCTTGACACAAGGAATGCGACAGCAGAAACCCATGTCTTTCATACGTCTGTGTGTGGTGGTTCTTGAAGCACTCACTCCAGCTGCAGTCCACTCTTTGTGAATCTCCCCCACATTTTTGAATGGGTTTTGTTTCACAATCCTCTCCAGGGTGCGGTTATCTCTCTTGCTTGTACACTTTTTTCGACCACATCTTTTCCTTCCCTTCGCCTCTCTATTAATGTGCTTGGACACTGAGCTCTGTGAACAGCCAGCCTCTTTAGCGATGACCTTTTGTGTCTTGCCCTCCTTGTGCAAGGTGTCGATGGTCGTCTTTTGGACAACTGTCAAGTCAGCAGTCTTCCCCATGATTGTGTAGCCTATAGAACTAGACTGAAAGACCATTTAAAGGCTTTTGCAGGTGGTTTGAGTTAATTAGCTGATTAGAGTGTGGCACCAGGGGCCATCAATTTTGAACCTTTTCACAATATTCTAATTTTCTGATATGATGAATTTGAGATTTTCATTTGTTGTCATTTGTAATCATCAAAATTAAACAAAATAAACATCTGAAATATATGAGTTTGTATGTAATGTATGAATATAATATACAAGTTTCACTTTTTAAATGGAATTACTGAAATCAATCTACTTTTTCATGATATTCTAATTTTATGACCAGCACCTGTAGAACTTTTTATGCGTACCTGGAATGGGGGACAATAGTTAAAGAAACTTTAGGCTCTCAAAATGGTATCGGTGCCCTATTAGTTGGTACTTTCCTACATCCGCCCCTGTCTACTGGAGTAATAATCATGAATATATTTGACACCTCTGACTAATCCAGGATTATTTTAACCATGTGGGATTTATCATTTCTAGCCCAGTCTGTCATGTGGAAAATAGATAAATGCAAACAGTAAAAGTCGTCTTTGGAAGAGGAAACAATAGAAATGGAGCGTGAATAGATAAAATCAAGTTGAAATTATATTTATTTTTTATTTGTACCAACTGTAAGCTAATGTTGCTGGGAAACATTCTTCTACTTCCTCTCCTCTCTTCCTCTCGCTTCCCTCCTATGCCTGCAAACCCACTTTAAAACGATTACCGCCCCCTAAAGGGCCGGAGGGGGAGAGACAGTGTCTTGTTACATCTAATATAGTTACGATCAAATCTGAGCTGGGATTTTTGAAGTTTTGTTTTATTTTTGTTTTATGAAGTTGTATTATATTGCAAATGCAATTAACTTTAAATCCCTAATTCAGATATGTTTTTATTTTTATGATCCTTTCCTCTGGGCTGCATGTCTTTAGAAAATGGAAGTTCAATGTTGACAAGAACCAGTTAAAGTAAAATAGTTGTGGAAGAAAAACATAATAAAATAAATGGAAAGAGGGAAAATATCAAAACTTTTATCAGGACTTTAAAAAATGCCTCTAACTGTGTTTTATTTGTTTAACTGTGTTTTAATAATGTGGAATAAACTGGCTTCTATTGTTGGAATAAAAAAAATAAAAAATACCCTAAGCACATAAATAGAAACAGATCCAGTGTGAGAGGGAGGAGGGCATGGCCCTGCCCAGCCACCCCTCAGCTCCGCCCCTGTGAAACAGAACCAGAGGACAACCTTCGGTGCAGATGACTCACAGCCCAAGAAGCTGGTCCCCGTGAATCCCGTAACCACAAGCCACGGCTGCTGCTGTTTAGTTGCCATGGCAACGTCTTGGCCATACCCAAAACAGACAAGTTTTCCCCCCCCAGAATATTTATGGAAATAAAAGAGGAAAAAGTACAGCCTGAGACTCTGCCACGTATATAATGATGGTGAAGGAGGAGGACGGGGAAAGAGTTAGTCATCGGGGTCTAAGGGAGCAGAGGGGGGGCAGGAGGGAACCGGGGGGGTGGAGCTGCTGATCCTGGTGCAACCATGGAAAAAAGGTTTCAGTGACACACTGAAAAATTTTTCCCTGAAGCTAAGAATAATTCTCAGCTATAAACAGATGAGTAGTAAATGGTTTAATTTGTTTATGTATTTAATGCATTTATGGATGAAATATTAACATCCATTAGATCAGTTACACCTGCGAGGCGAAATGAAAGCCTTCGTTTCCTGACGTTTGCTTCTAATGAACAATGTCTGGCTCTCAAAGATCAGAGGGTTTCTGCAGAAAACCTTCAGGCAGCGCTGCGTCCCATGATCGTCCCATAAATACGCCTTCTGTCTCTGAGTCTATTTCTGATTTTCTCAGTTTTCTGTCATAAAGGAGGTAAAATACTGGTTGAAATAACAGTTAGAGTGAATTAGATGCTTCTGCAGCAGGTTCTGGGAGCCCTGGACCGGTTCTGGAGCCAGTTTCAGGTTGGCTTATTAAACTATTAATGTTACCTCCCAACAGAGGTGCATTTAAGAAATGTAGGGCCCTTGGCATAAAGGGGCACCTTAAAACAAAAGGTAAAAATCAATGCAATCCTCTGAGGTTGAAGCTGATTTAAAGGCAAAGTTAGGGGTCTAAAACCTTTGGTGTTTGGAGCCTCTGCAACTAGTGAATAAAATCGAGAAAACACCAACTATTGGTTTTAAATAGAGTATAATAACATAGTATAATAAGTCGTAAAATAGATCTATTTCTCAGAGTCATTAACATGAAAATTGGATTTTATTTTCTATATTTTTCACAAAGAAAAAATCCATACTTGTATGGATTTAAATGGATAAAATGTTTTATGTATATTTAAAACCTTTGTTGTTTAAAACAGAAACCAAGAATAATAAGCTGTGTTTTATTCAAAGGTCAAAATGAATAAAATGACTTTTTGGGTTTTAAAGATTGCAGACATTTAAAGTCGTAGGGAAGCGGCCGTTCCAACCGTTGCATTTCCGAATTCTCCTGAGTGGTGCCCGACTTTACACGAGAGAATAAAGTGAATGTGATTGGTCGATTATCAAGGGGGCGGGATTGTTGTGGAGGAAGGTTCTCAAGCAAGTTTGGTTGTGGCCGGTTTGTCAGAAGCATCTTGCTAACCAGTTAGCATCTTAGTGCTAGCAGGTTCCCAATGGGAAATTCCATTGGTTCCAAGTGGCACTAAATTGGTGACTTAGAAACGACGCTGTCAAGGAACGCTATGGACAGCGGAAACATGCAAGAGGAGGAGAGTTTAGTGTCGGAGGTCGTGGATGAGTCTCCTCCGTCATCCATTTTTTATTTAGAGGAGGAAAGCGGGGACGAAGATGTTGTGGAAGAGGACGCCAGGGCGGCAGAAGCTTGGTTTGGTGTAGAAGGCTTCCAGCCGTACATGTTTGAGCCCTTGCCTCGCAACGCTGCCAGTTCTGTTAGCTCTACGCCTGCCGAAGACACAGGCGTCCATCCCTGTGAACACTGGGACGCAACTCAATGGGAAAGGAAAGGATTCTGATTTCAACCGTTGCGTATATTAGCTGCGACACATGAATCAAGATGCTATGACCGAAAACATTTGATTGACAGATGACCGGTGATATATGATTGGCCGAATTTAGGTGTTCAGGCTGACGTAGAACTAACTGGTCTGCAGAAGATAACGAAAAAAAACACATTTCAAGACAGCATTTTTCTTTTAAATAGAAATTTTCTAACTTTTGGGACAATATTGTCTGATTAAGAGTACATTTATATACATATTTAAGCCAGAATGATTTAATATGATTTCCCTACGAGTTTAAAACCCAACATCCAAGATGGCCGCCATGTGCATTAAACACATGCAAAGCTGCAGAATTGAGAAGACTTTACATCTGACGGTTTGTTTCTTTGTGATTTGGTCACAAAGTTTCAGGGATTTTGATGTTCGGGGTCCTGCATGCTGGCTGCTGCTAAGTCCCGCCTCTTCCTATTCTAATATCGAATTCAGTTTCAGTTCAGTTTATTTCTATAGCTCCAATTCACATCATGTCATCTCAGTTTCCAGTTCAACCAGATCATCCAGTCAGATTGATTCAAACTTTTGTACTTAAGGAAAACCAGCTGATTGCATCGACTCATTGACTCTTCAGCAATCCCTCACACTGAGCATGCTTGTAGCGACAGTGGAGAGGAAAAACTCCCTTTGAACTGGAAGAAACATAAATTTTTGCCCTGTTTTTAGAGTCTGAATCTAACAATCGAAGGACTGGCTCTTTATTCAGTTAACCTCCATGTTTTTGATCATATTCTGCTGCAAGCAGAAGTCATACAATCTGGCATGTGATGTTTGGTGCCGTGTTCCCCACCATTAACCCACCTGGCTTTCAGCTCCTTGTGCTCCTCCCTCACTTTGCCCAGCTCCAGCTGGAGTCTCGCTCTCTCTTTGGCCACCGAGTCCAGAGTCTTGCGGGCGTCGGCCAGCTCCGTCTCGTAGGCGGCCTTCAGGCCCGTCAGCTCCCGGGTCACCTCGGTCTCGGACTCGGTGATGCGCATGCGCAGGCCGGCGTTCTCCGCCTCGAGAGAGCGCACTTTGTCGATGTAAATGGCCAGGCGGTCGTTGAGGTTGCAGAGGTCCTCCTTCTCCTGGAGCCGAGTGATGCGGTTCGGGGACAGAGGGGTGTTTCCGCCTCTGGTTGAGCTTTTGGGTGTGGCCATTTTACCTCTGTACCTTTGATAAAAAAAATACCTGTTAGCATTTCCTCCTAAAGATGGATCTTCTACCTTTATGAGCACATTATTCCTGCTTAGGGCGTCTTTGCAGACGATATTCTTTACGTTTATTTAAAGTAAATTCAGGAGAGCTTCTCAAATCTGCTTAAAAGAATAAAACCTGAATAAGTTGGTATTTAAAATCTGTACAGCGACCTCTTCAATGCATGAAACACAAAGACCTCATTAATCCAGAGTCATTGGGAGGGGCCGGCGACTCCACCCGAAATTAAAAGAATTAAAACATCTCTGCAATAAAGTTTTACCTATTAAATCCTGATAGAAGGAGAGGAAACTGCTCGCTGGATCTTCTCTGACTCGTCTGTAGCTTCTTCGGACCAGCCTGTTGGCTCTGTTACTGAGCTGTCTGAGGATTGATCTGAGTGCCCATGTAGGAAAGAATGAGATGGGTGGAGAGGAGGGAGGCGGCCCCAGTTTGGCTCCTGGTAGGTGCTTGTTCTCTGTCGGCTGTGGGTGTGCAGCTTGAATGAATGAGTCAGCCTCAGCTCAAATAAACACACAGATCTGTGATGCGTTTATAATTACAGTAACTGAGTCAGCGCAAGCGGAAAAAAAGAAAAACCAGTGGAGGACTGGGACTGAAGCGTTTCCAGTTGCTGTCCTGTTGTACTTGCACAATTTTCTTCCTTTAACTCTGCTGTTTTGTTCATGAAAGAAGTCCGATTTTAAGTCTTATTTAACAGACGTCAGCTCAGCCCGAGCCCAGCATCTAACCAGGCTGAGCTCTGGACTTTGACTAGGCCGTTACAGAACTTTGATGGTTCTGTTTTCCCGTCTCTCTGCTGTAGATCAGCTGCTGTGTTTGAATCACTGTCCTGCTGATGACCCAGACTGGACCATGATTAATAATCCCGTACCATCAGCCTGCCACCACTGTGCTTGCTGTTCGGCTGCACTCACCACATTAAATGATAAAACAAGAGGGGTGTATGTTTTAATGTGTGTGGGGGGGTGTGGGCTGCTCAGTGATGCAGTGGGCAGCACTGCTACCTTGCAGCAAGACGGCTCCGGGTTCGATTGTGCACGTAGTTAGCATGTTGCATGATCTGAGATCCATAAAAATGTCTGTAAATGAAGGATTTTTGTTTGTTCCTTGGTTTCAAATCATAGAAACATGACATCAGATCTTCATCTGTGAGAATATAAAAGTAATCTTTGTTAGTATACAAATGAATCATTACTCTTTAATCTGTGTAGTTGCACAGTTCTTATTGGTGTGGAGAGGAGTTTGGACTTGAGTCTTAATCCTTTAATCGCCATGACATCACATTTCTATTTATTCTTAAGAGTGAATCATAAAAATCTATTAATATGTGAAAAGTGTGACATAAATTATGTTGTTTTTTACCAACTAACAGCAGCTAGAAAGGCTTTTTGAAATATTAAAGTTGTGTTATTTATGGTTTAAATAACAGGATTTCTACTATTTAGAGCAGCATGTTAATCAGCGAGGAGGAAACAATGTCTTCCTGTTATTGGTTTGAATAAACTGCAATCATTCCAGCATTTATTGTTTTTTCTTCTTTTCATTGAAATGATTTAAAAAACACTGATTTTTTTTCTCTTCATCACTACCTGCAGCAGAAAAAGCAGCACAGACCCTGAGAAAGAAGAGGAACCTGAGAGGCTGAGTGTCAAGGTTGGGTTTGGTTTGGAAGACCCAAATGCAGAGGCAGAGAGGATGAGGAGATTTCTAGGAGTTTTATTGGAGCAAAAACAGTAAACAAAGGCAGGAATCCAAAAATCCAACAAATAATGAAAAGCAAACCAGAACTAAGAAGACATCTGGGAAAACCAAACACGAGGAGCCAGGGAGACGAGGGAGGTGGACAACAGCATGGGAGGACAGCAAAGACAAGGAACCAACAAAGAGTGAGAGCAGAGGGAGAGCATATGTAGCTGACTGAGACAAAGGGAGGGCTAACGAGCTGACAAGGAGCAGGTGTGAGAGGAGACAACGAGGGAGCCAAGGGGAAAGGAACACACACACCAGAGGGAATTAAACCAATAAAACTAGGAAACATAGAGCAAAGTAAACACAAAGTAACACAATAGAAACAAGACCATGACACTGAGATCAGTGAGAGAAACAAGAAAGCACACTGCAAAACATCCCTTAATTTCAGCTGGTAAGACAGTTTCCCATATAATTGTGATTAAATGATTTATGGATTGATAAAGGATAAGAGCCCTGCGAAGGACTGGCAACCTGTCCAGGGTGGACCCCGCCTCTCGCCCATTGACTGCACCAGCACCCCTCGTGACCCCACTGGGGACAAGCTTGTCAGATGATAGATGGATGGATGGATAAAGGATAAGAAAAAAATATATATATTTATGTCTACTGCATAAGATCTGTTTTAGGGCTAAAATCCTTAATCCCGTTCATCTTCTTCAGCTGCTCAGCTTAAAGGCAAATTCCCTTTTCTTAAGAACTTTTTACTTATTTTCAGACCAGCTTTGCAGTTTAGGATATATAAACATATACGGTATATACATGTTTAAGCTAAAAGAAGTAAAGAGCTAAGTTAAAGCTGCAGCAAAACGTTCATCTGTATCAGGGCAGATTTACAGGACAGAGCGTAGAAAACAACAGGTGCAGGTGGAAGGCTGAGAATGACCTTGCTCCGACCGACACACAGAAAGAGCTGATTTTGTAGAAGCAGAAAAACAGGAAACAACTTAATACGGCAAGATGGGAATGTATGGAGTATGATTAATCTGTGGGACCGTCTGTGTGAAATTGTAAGATTCTCCTTGATCAAGATGATTAAAAAGAGCCTGTGTTGGAGAGGAGGCCACAGGTGCTCTTTGCAGATGCGTGCTGTTGATGTTGATGCTGGTCTCTCTTTGCAAAGGCCAGTCGAAGCTTTATCGTCAAGCCTCTTTATTTCACTCCATCTAAGTTGACCTGCACTCGAATCAACGGACCCGGGGAAGCCAAGACGGTTTTCAACAATTTGGGGGCTCGTCCGAGGATTTGGGGCGTTAGGATCGAGGACGAGGGACACAGGCTAGCCAACAAAAACCTAAGGAGAACCTGTTTAATTAAACCTGCATTTTGGGTTTAAAACAACTAAATTAAGTGTCCCGAGTTCTACTAAGCCTAAGTCTATGAAAGGAAATAGAAGGAGTGATATAAAACAATGGTTGGATGGTTGAATTAAAATACTGAGACCCAGCAGGGGGGCGACTCTGTGGACTCAGGTTACAGATATATAAAGTTCTGAACACACAGAACTAAAACAGAATAGAATAATAAGTTGTGCTCGAAAACACAACGAGTAAAATAAAGTCCTGTGAGTCCAAGATATCTTTTTTATTAAACTATGAGCTGACAAACAACAAGACCAGACAAAAGCTAAGGTTAAAATTAGGGATGCACGATATTGGGATTTTGGCCGATATCCGATATTTTAAAACTCATGTAGCCGATAACCGATATCGATACCGATGTTAAAGCTGGACAAAAATAAGTAGTCATTGAAAATAGCAGTTTTGTTATCCATTTCTGACACTTTGAAAAATAATATACTCAAATATATTTTCATATGCTGATACCAAATCGATTTTTAAAAACGCGGTATCGATCTATTTTACTTTCAAAATCTGGTGAAATTTCATCGTTCTGTTACAAACTCTCGTGATATTTTGCAAATTCTTGTGAGATTTTGTTAGTAAAATAGATCGATACCGCGTCAATATATCAACATATAAAAATATGGCAACATTTGGTGAATTTTCGGGGGATTTCGTAGCATAACGATGACATATAGCAATATTTCATTAGTAAAAGAGATTGATATGGTGTATTTAAATGGCAATATATCAGCATAGGAAGATATTGGGATATCTTCATATGCTTCATAGGAAGAAGAAGAAGTAGTATTTTTTTTTTTAGACTTTAGAAACTCAGAAGCTGATCAAATATCGGGTTAAATATCGGTGGGGTGGCCGATGTCCGATATTCAGTTTTAAGGCCGATACCGATAGGGGACCGATTATATCGTGCATCCCTAGTTAAAATACATGAGCTGTGAGGTGAGCAAACGCACCCCAACATCGTCACACTAAGGGAGGGAAAGCATGAGTGTGTGTGTGAAGCGGATATCATGAACTATGTGGGCTGTGGATAATTTCTAACTCTGTTTTGTTGCAAAATGTATCCTGTGTCACTGATATTATGATCTAGAATATTTTGTGCTTTAAAATTTTGGTTGTTAATTGTTTAAGGTTGGACTGATGTGAGAAAAGGGAGGGGCCGGTTTATCTCCAGAAAACAGAGCAGACAGACAGTGAGGGAGACCGGCGGTTTTTTTTCTGTCGCACCATCCCTTCCAGGGAATTAAGAAAACAGCAAAAGTAAAGATAAAACTAAAAGCAGTTAGACAAAATGCAGGGTGAGTTTGATAGAGAAATAAATGATGATGGATGGGGACCAGTTGGTAGCGAGGACGGTGGTGATTGAGAATTCACAAAAAAATGAAGGGCAGAAACGGGTGAAGAAGATGGAAGTGCAGGTTGAGAAAGAATTAGAGAAAGAGCGCAAAAGTAAGGAGGGGAAATTAGTTCTGGTTTAAGGCGAAGGAATGGAAATCATAGGGTGTGTAAACTTATTCTGATGTCTAACCTGAGCAAATAAATCTTGGGTTTCTATAAACGTGCACACGCAGCTAAACAAGGATCCTAAAATGAGGCTAAAAGCACTGATGCAGAGGTCTTTAGATCGGACTGGTGAATAAATTATGATTTTTTGTTGAAATTGGGAAAATTCCATTATGAAGATCTATTAAAAAATTGTTACTGATAGATTAAAGAAACTTTATGTAGCCAAAGTCTGTCTGTCTGTCTGTCATATATGTTGAATCCATGTGAGGTAGAATGTATATGGTGCATTTTGAAATGATCTAGAATAGTTTTTGATGTGACATTAATATGATTGGGGGGATCGAGAAATAGAAGGTGGATTACCAAGAGGAAAACCGCAGCTCAAACTGAAGCCCATGATCTACCATTAGGCAATACTAGGCAGTACCATACATGTAAACAGAGTCGGTATGGCTAATACAACTATTTGTTTACATAATTATGTTTTTAATAAAAATCCTTTGGCTAAAATGCCATCAGAACGCTGATAATATTAATTGTGTCTCAGCCCCCCCCCCCTTCAGTGTCCACCATCTTGGATCAGTCCATTTGCTGCACATGTTCAGAAAGGTCCAAACAGACAGCAGCAAACCATCTGAAAACAAACCATGCAAAGAGCAGTGTTGCCAACTTAGCGCTTTAGTCGCTATATTTAGCCACTTTTCAGACCCCTCTAGCACTTTGATTTCTAAAAAGCTCCTAGCGCCAAATCTAGAGACTTTTTTCTGCTACTGGAGACTTTGGAGACAACATCTAAAAGCAGCAAACTCTGCTCTCCAGAGCGAGTAGATTGGTAACCCCGCCTCCTGCTCTGCTCTATCTTGTCTGCTGTCATGATTCATGCAGCTATTATTTCATCCAAATGAAAAATGGAGAACAGATAAGCAGATCATGGCTTGTCTACAGTGAAAAGAAGGACTGGATTATTTACTTTGGCCTTTTTGGAAACACAGGAAGGAGCAATCAGCTAAGTGAGCTTAGTGCTTGGAAAAAATCTTTCATTCCTTTAGAGACAGCATGAAAAGTCAGCTGAGTACAAAACATAGAGAGGAAAACAAGAAGAAAAGGGACAAGAAGAGAGGGACACAACCTAGAACAGATAATGGATGTCTATTCTATCTATTCTCATAAACATTGCCTGGTTCTGCAGAAACTCTTGGCTGGACAGTTTTCATTGAATTTACTCTTCTTCACATTGCCCAGATTAAACGTTAGCGGCTCATCACCCCCTAGGTCCGACAGCGTTTTCATTGGTTCCGCTATCGGTGATAGTTACAGCAAAAAATATCGTCAATTATTTTTGTGTTTCATATGGATTAAAAAATAATATCCTATTTATGACATGGTAACTATTTTACTACCTGGGGGGGGCTGAGGATGACCTCTGACCTCCAGTACCACCTGTCTAAAAGTTCTGGACATGATGGGGAGCATCTGAATGAGGGACCCCGATCCCCCAGAGCCAAAGCTGATCCTAATTAGATCGGCCAACATCCGTCTGACTGACTATTCTAATAAAATGTTTCTATCTGTAGAATGGGGCTTTTTTATGTGTTGTCTTCTCAGTTCAGAGGGTCCCCTCCCTGTCTTTGCCTAGGGCCCCAAATTTCCTAAATCCGCCCCTATTTAGAGGAAATGACAATGGTTCTCCTTCTGCTGCTGGAACAAAAACATTGTTTTAATCTTTGTTTTTGGGCTTGTACACTTATTGTTTGATTGATAATTTATGAACAAAAAGAACAATGTATTTCTGACATCACAAATAGTGAGAACAGACTACGGTTCTGTTTGAATTTATAGGCTGCGTCTTTAGAAGGCCAGATTCGAAGGCTGATTACGTCATAGCGCGGCGCCGAGGTCTGGTCGGATTACAAGACTCCTCGTTATGCCGCCTTAAAATGCATCCTTCTTTTTGCCCGATTTGAAGGACGGGTCTGATGTATCCTCGGTGTCCTTGGATATCCCAGGACTTATTGGGAGTCCAAGCTAGCTGGCTGCTCTGTGATCAGAGGAAAAAGGGAAATGGCGCCGAACAGTGGTGAATATTGGAAGTTCAGTTTAATATAATACAAGTATGAATAGTTCCGTCTAAAATGGTTATAAAGTCAGATATGTGGCGGTAATGTTTGATTTAACTAAAGGTTTTTATCTGTTACCGTGTAAATGGGTTTGGCTGGAATTTAAGGACAGATTTTAAAATATCTGCAGTGGGACTATAAATCTGATAGGATTAAGAAAATTTTTTTATTGCTATTTTGTACTATTTGCTTAACTAAGCATTTTTTGCTTTTGAATATAAAACATTTTGCAGATATATTTTTTATACATACATAGTTTAGATTTACTACTTTATCTTTCTACCCCTTTTATAAAACAGAATAAAAAAATCCCTTTATTGTCCCACAATGGGCAAATTTACAGCAGCAGAAAGATGATTAAAAATGGTCACACAAATGAGGACCTTAGAAAAATGTATAAGAATAACATAATAGGGAAGAGTTAAAATATAGACAATGAAATACTGTAAAGTGTTTTAACAATATAAAACTGGAGAATAAATAACCAATATGCAGCTACATTTTTACAGTAATGGAGATTTGAAAATAGCAGCAACATCAGAGATGTGCAGAATGACAGCAGCAGGTTATTTAACTGACTAAGGTTTCTATCATTACATTTGATTTGATTTGTTCCTGCTCCCGGTGGTTGGAACCTATATTCCACTCTGGATTCTCATGGGTGAAGTCTTTATTTACTTTACAATAAAAAAAAATAAGAAGAAACAGTTTTAAAAAGTTCGGTATTCATGCTTTTTCTGCTTTGTGTGTCAAATGTCCCGGTTGCTAAGCGACAGATCGTACGGCGGTAAAAGCCGCGGAAGCAGCTGTCTAGAACAGTAGATCATACTGCCACTCACAACATGGCGTCTGGTCGCCCTGTGTTAGCTAACATCAGGCTATCTTTGTGTTTGAACTACATCGCCATCTTATGGCGCTTCTGCTGAAGAGCAGGTTGATCGATCAGAGGAGCCGCAGATATGTTTTCCTCGAACTTTGAATCCTGAATTATTCCCTCCAACAAAACTTAAAGTAACGGATGAGGCAGTGAATCGCTAATAAAGCTTAAATGTTGCGTCAGGACGGAGAATAAAGTCATGGAACCGAGCCGTGAGCGGGTTTTCCGGGCAGACATGGCTGATTTCTGTCATGTGGTTTTTGAGAAAACCCGTATTGGATCTCTGTGGTCACCTGAGTGAAGAAGCTGAAAAAAATCCACGGATGAACCGAGTGTCAGCAAATATGTGGGATAAAACACGCAGAGTGTCATTTAAGAAAATGCGAACCGATTTAGATAAACGCAGGAGTCCCAATCTGAGAGGGAATCCCTTTAATTTGAAGGAAAGTCACAGAAAAGCGAAGAGAAACAGAGTTTGGCCGTTAAAACGGCTCGGATCAACGTCACGTGATTCCAACAACAACATCTGATATCTTAGCCGAACAAAAATAAAAAATTTCATCATTAAAATACTGTTTTTGCTGCGCTTTGCGGAGCGCAGATGAGTCCACTCCGCGTCTTATTGCGCGCATTAAGCGCCGCAGTTTTGGCGCAGAAAGGAGCGCAGCGCTCTCAGAGGACATTGAGGACAAAAAGAAGCGGATCCGCCTGTTTTCAACCAGAATTCAGCTTCACTTCGGGTTTCCAGGGGATTTAAAGCCGATCGGAGCGAACGGAACCTCAGGCCGAGGCTCCTTGTCGGTCCCCCCACTCACGGAGCCTCCTCTGGGGCCTCCAGCTGCGCTCCAACCCGCCGCGCGCCTCACGTGTCCGGGACTGTCTTCCTCACATGACCCGGGTGTTTGTCCCCGTGATCAGGGCCTCCATCTCCGTCCATCTGAGCTGCTGAAGTTTCTTCCATCCTGGGAAGGCTTGATGGAGATGCTGGATCAGAGCCTGGAGGGCTCAGTGAGGTGAGAGGCAGCTGCTCCGGTTCTTCCTGCCCGCCCTCAGGCGCTCTTCCTCGGCCTTAGTCAACATGTTCTCCCCTGAGCCGCTCAGCGCCTTAAAACCGATTAAATACTTTAATAAATGATGATGATGATGATGATGTTAGATCTGGGGGGGGGGGGGGACATCTGCAAAAACTGCAGATGTTAAACCAAAGTTATTATGTTATTATTCTGATTAAAAGAAGGGTTAACAGAAATGTTCTGCTGCACATTAGCGTCTATTTTCAGCTCGTTTTGCACAAACTTGATTTCATTGCGTTCATTTCCAGCTGCGGCCGCCGGGTGGCGCTGTGCTGCTGCTGGTTATTACCTGTTATCTGTGGAAACTGAAACTGATTCGCAGCTTTTTGTTCATGTTTCAGTCACGCTAAACAGGAAACAGCGGAGGTGGTGCAGCTGCAGGAAGGTGAGAGGATCTGCACAACTCTGCTGCTCTCAGCTGCCTTCTACCAAATAAAACTTTTCCATTTCTTTTTATTTGTTTTAACAAATTAAAACTTGTCCTTTTCCTACTATTTATTTATTTTAACAAATTAAAACTTCTATTTCTATTTCCTTTTGTTCTAACAAAATAAAACTTTTCTATTTCCTATTATTTGTTTAAACAAAATAAAACTTTTTCTATTTCCTTTTATTTGCTTTAGCAAAATAAAATTTCTATTTCCTTTTTATTTTAACAAACTAAAACTTTTTCTATTTCATTTTGTTTGCTTTAGCAAAATAAAATTTCTATTTCCTTTTATTTATTTTAACAAAATAAAACTTTTCTATTTCCTTTTATTTGCTTTAGCGAAATAAAACGTCTATTTCCTTTTATGTTTTAACAAAAAAAATTTCTTTCTATTTCCTTTTATCTATTTTAAAGCTTGATTTTTCAGGCTGTGTGGAGCCTGCAGTGATAATTGCTGCAAACCGTAGATTTTATCATAATACTTAAAATAAATAATAAAGCCTCAGTGAATTATGGCATTTCATTTAATATCGATGCAGTTTTGTCGTCTCTGTTTTTGTTCCCATTTGCAAAAGTTGGGATTTAAACCGACAAACAAAAACCTGTAGATTTATTATGGAGTGAATTTTTGTTTCATCGTTATTTTAAAGATCTTGTTTTGTAAATGGAAAACTGAAAAAAAAAGAAAAGAAATACCCTTCAGCAATGTTTAAGAAAAGCTTTTTTTCTTTTCATATTTTTTGTGCATTTTCACTTAAATTTCCAATTTTTTTTAACAGATTTAATATTTTCGCATTTTATTTGTACGATTTGCTTTCTTTACAAGTTATGTTTCACAGATTTAATTCCCTCCATCCAGTCTAATAATTTAGACGTAAAAATCACACATTTAGCCGCTAATTCTCATTTAACGCCAACTTTCAGCTGCACGTCTTTCTGCTTGTAAATATGTGATTCTTGTTGTTTTGCAAAGATTTATCTGTATTCTTAACTTTAGAATTTGTACTCTGATAAATATATCTAAGGTCACCTGAATCTGTGAGTCAATAATTAGGAATAAACATAAATTTGAGGTTTTTTGACATTATTGGCTTTATTTTACGTCTCAGAAGTAAGGAAACGTTTAACTTCTCCTGTAAACCTGCTTTTATTCTGGTCTTCCAAACATTTCTCATGATGAACCTCTTTATAAGCCTCTGCATTATTTATCGATTTAATCATAAATGAGCAGAGATTAGCTCTGAACGTCTGCAGACTGGTTATAAGCCGGTTATTAACGCGGTGAACTGGCTGTTTCTGCAGGAGAAGCTGTGGGGACGGACGAGCAGTCTGCAGTCACCATCACCAGCGTCCCTCAGGCTGCGTTCGCAGACCACGGCGTTCAGTACCAGTTTCGGACGGAGAACAATGGCGGACAGGTGAGGCGTGGGCCAGACGGAGGTCGGCCGAACTAATTAGGCTCAGCTTTAAATCTGGGGGACCGGGATCAGAAACTCGCCATCATGTCCAGAACTTTTAGACAGGTGGTCGTTTTATTCTTCAATATCAAACTAAGTCCTTAATTGGTAATAAAATGTCTTTCATAGGTAGTAAAATATTTACCACGTCATAAGTAGGATTTTATTTTTATAATCTATATCAAACATGAAGATAATTGTTCTTTTCACTGTAGACAAGCCGTGATCAGATTAACTGTTTGGATGAAATAATAGCTGACTAACATCATTGTTTTCCCACCGCGTGAAAAAGCCGCGCCACTATTGGTTCAGACCAGCTGTTGCTCCGCTCTCATTGGTCTGGAGCAGGCCAATAGCATCAGTTATCATTAGTGAGTGTCGGGAGAGAGAAGGCTGCGTTCAAGTGACATACGAAATCAAAATGGTATCGTTGCTGTATTTGTTGATAACACCATTTTAGAGCTGGATCGGGCGCCGCCTCATACTGGTATCTACGGTGGCCCTGAAGTGCAAACTGCAACTACAAATCTAAAAGCACAACTGCATTAAGGAAAACACAATTACATGAACCTACTGGAATAGGTAGGTACCAGAGGGAAACATGAGACATCGCTGATTGGACGACGGCGCCGTTTGACCCTTGAACCGGAAGTTGCGTCGTCTGAACAGTCCAGCTTCTTTTAAGTGTGTCTTCAGTGTACGCAAACTAACGGAAATTTGGTGATTAGTCTTGAGCATATCCAGTATCACCTCGTACGTATGTCCTGATTCAAAATATTCCTGGATAACGGCAGCTATGTTTGGGGCGCCGACAATATCCATGTTTTCAAAAGCCGCAGCAGGCAGAATGACTTCCGGTTCAAGGGTCAAACGGCGCCGTCGTCCAATCAGCGATGTCTCATGCTTCCCACTGGTACCTACCTTTTCCGGTAGGTTAATGTAATTGTGTTTTCCTTAATGTAGTTGCGATTTGCTTTATGTAGTTGCGATTTCCTTAATGTAAATGCGCTTTGCTTTATGTAGTTGCGATTTCCTTAATGTAGTTGCGATTTCCTTAATGTAGTTGCGATTTGCTTTATGTAGTTGCGATTTCCTTAATGTAGTTGCGATTTCCTTAATGTAGTTGCGATTTGCTTTATGTAGTTGCGATTTCCTTAATGTAGTTGCGATTTCCTTAATGTAGTTGCGATTTTCTTAATGTAGTTGCGATTTTCTTAATGTAGTTGCGATTTTCTTAATGTCGTTGCGATTTCCTTAATGTAGTTGCGATTTGCTTTATGTAGTTGCGATTTCCTTAATGTAGTTGCGATTTCCTTAATGTAGTTGCGATTTTCTTAATGTAGTTGCGATTTTCTTAATGTCGTTGCGATTTCCTTAATGTAGTTGCGATTTGCTTTATGTAGTTGCGATTTGCTTTATGTAGTTGCGATTTCCTTAATGTAGTTGCGATTTCCTTAATGTAGTTGCACTTTTAGATTATTAGTTGCAGTTAGCACTTCAGGGCCACCGTAGGTATCGGTGCAACACTAATAAAATGTTCTTAACTTGAGCCTTATGTTGTAAGAACCCCGTCCTCCTCCTCCGTTTTAAGTTTTTCGTTCCCAGAACCACAGATTTACTCTTGGCTCCTTCAGCAGGTGACCTATCGGGTCGTCCAGGTAACGGAGGATCACCTGGAAGCGGCGGGGGATGGTGCCGTCAGCGTCGTCTCCGCCGCTGCGTTTGCCGGAGCTCCTCAGGCTGTGGCTCAGGTGAGTCCAGGAACCCAGAAGCTCCTGATTCGGGCCCCCGGCTCTGATTTCTGGGGTGTTGAAAGACGTCTGGATCAGAACTTCTGGAGGCTTCCTGAGGGAAACATGGCGGCTGATGATGAGGCTGGAGATCGTTTCCTGACGTTCTTCCTCCTCCCCCCTTCAAGGCCGTGATCCAGAACTCCTTCAGTAACGGAGGCAGTCCGGCCGCCGAGGCCGTCGGAGGAGAAACCCGGTTCGCTTACTTCCCCGCCACGGCCGTCAGCGATGGAACGGCGGTGTCGGTGCAGGGTCCGGACCCGGCGATCTCCCAGGCAGGAGGTGAGGAAGCGCTCGGCTGGAGAAAACTCGGACCTCCCTCGTGATGCTGACGCCATTTTGTTCTGTTTAACTCAGGCCAGTTTTACGTGATGATGAGTCCCTCTGAGGTTCTGCAGACGGCGAGTCCTCGGACCATCGCACCCAGAACACACACCTACACCACGTGAGTAACGGATCCGTTCAGCGTCCCGTCCGTGCCTCCGCCGCCGTCGTCCCGGTGATAAAACCTCTGTCCAATATCTGCATTTTGTTCTCTGCAAAAACCATCTAGAAATAAGTAAAAATTTCTTAAATTAAGTGTATTTACCCTAATTTTAAGTAGGTAAATGAGATAGTTTGCCAATGGAATGAGTATTTATATTTTAAAATAATTAGATAATATGCACTTTAAAAAAGCCAATGCAATTGTACTTTTCTTATTTTAAATGTAAATTGTCTTGTTCCATTGGCTAAATGTCTCTTTTTCCTCCTCAATTCAAGAACAAATGTAATTATTTAAAGAAAAAATGACTTATCTAGATCACGATTTATTCCATCCAAAGTTAACTTTAGGTATAAATATGATGAAATGTTGCCATTAATGCTAAAAAATATAAATTTATCAGGATATCTTACTTCATTTCTGATAGAAAAAGGCTTATTTTAGTGCAACAACAAACAGAAGCAGCATAAAATGTATGACAGGACTGAAATCTAATATCGCGATATATTTAAATTACCTTCATAAACAATAGAGTGCATTAAATTGCACTGATCTATTTATTAAAACTTTAGTTTCTAATTTAAAACATTTTATTTGAATCAGATCAAAGCTTTTCTGCCACATGATGTCAGAATTAAACCTTTAATAAGATCCCAGAAAACAAACTAAGCAAAAACACACAATGGAAAATAAAAAAGGCTCTTTTGTGCATTAATAAAAAGTTAACTCATTGACTCTTCAGCAATCCCTCACACAAAGCATGCTTGTAGCGACAGTGGAGAGGAAAAACTCCCTTTGAACAGGAAGAAACCTCCAGCAGAACCAGGCTCAGTGTGAGCGGCCATCTGCTGAGGCCCACTGGCTGCAGACGGTCATGTGAATTTCTTCTCGATGGCTGCGATGCTCATTTTAACTATCGTACATGGCAGAGATATATGGAGTATATTCGATATATCGAACCCTGTTGTGTGGTTTTTATGAGATGTAGCTGTTGGTGTGTTTGCAGGAAGGTGGAGGGCCCGCGGGCCCCCAGGGATGAGAGGCGGAGAGCTCAGCACAACGAAGGTTTGTCTCCTAATGAAGTATTCACACCCCTTTGCATTCCTCCTGTTTCTCTCACAAACGTCTGCATGTCTGTCAGGAAAAATGCTGCGTAACTGGATGTTTAGGCTGATTCTCCTGCTGCAGTTTGTCTCTTGGACTTTCAGAGCCTCATTGGTCCAGGTGGACCTCTGTGTTCCGAGTCACAGCCAAACAGGAACAGACCAGATGAAGCTACTATGAGAAAAAGCAGAGAGAGCAGAACGTTAGAGATTGAACTAACAGATTCTGCAGAGTGGGAGAATAGAGATAGAATGAAGCAGAATGATGAAAAAGGGGTCCCTATGTCCTCCAGCAGTCTAAGCCTATAGCAGCAGAACTATAGAGATAGCTCAGGATAACGTGAGCCACTCTAACTAGAAGCTTTATCAAAAAGGAAAGTTTTAAGCCTAGCCTTAAAAGTAGACAGGGTGTCTGCCTCACGGACTAAAACTGGTAGTTGGTTCCACAGGAGAGGAGCCTGAGAACTAAAAGATCTGCCTCCCATTCTACTTTTAGAAATTTTAGGAACCACTAGTAAACCTGCAGATTATTCACTCCCTTCTATTTGCACTAATTGTGTTCTTGAAAATATTTTATCATCTTTGTTTAAGTTTAAGGTTGATTTTTTATTTTTTTTTTCAGTTGAGAGAAGAAGAAGAGACAAGATCAACAACTGGATCGTCACGTTGTCGAAGCTGATCCCAGACTGCAGCCAGGACACCAGAACCGGAGCGGTGAGCGTCCCGGAAGTAGACCCGTTTTTTTCCCTGACGTCTCAGTAAACCGTTTTAATCCGAGGAAACTTTGTGTGTCGCTCAGAGCAAAGGAGGCATCCTGTCCAAAGCCTGCGACTACATCCGAGAGCTCCGTCAGAACAACCAGCGGCTGCAGGAGAGCTACAAGGAGCTGGAGCGGGTGGAGATGGACAACGAGCTGCTGAGGCAACAGGTGGAGTCCCAGTCACACTGAACTAAACCGGTCGTTTATGAAACGGATCATCAGAGGTTCTGATCCCTCTGAGCAGAACAGAGCTGCTGCTGGTTTGCTTTAAATCGGCTCTAGATTACCTGTTTCTATGCAGCATTGGCTCCGCTGTGTTGATGTTAAGTTAAGGTATGGAGAGAAATTTGTTCCAATATTTTTGAATACTTGAACTTGAATAGAACAAGTTGCTGGTTTAAATTCTCAGTCATCCAGGTCAGAGTCATTCCAAAGAAGTAAAAAAAAAAAAAATCAATCCACTGGACTTTGGTTCCAAGTTTGAAGATGTTTCTCTTCCCATCCAGGAAGATTTTTCAATTCCAAATTACAGAAATAGCGTTGAGTTCCAGGTTTTATACAGGTATGGAGCATCGCAGGCTAACAAAGAAGCCAAACGACCCCCCCCACGTTCATCCGTTTCTATTTGCATGTTTTCTAAACATAAACAAGTCTTTGTTGGGCTGCTGGATAAAACCTGGAACTCAAATCTCTGACTTTTTGAATTGAAAAAGCTATAAAATGGAGAAAAAAAGTTCAGAAAACTCAGTCTCCCCAAAAAGGGCAAAAAACCAAAATGGAAATCTAAAGAAAATAAAATAAAAATTGAAATTAAATATGAAAAAAACATAAATTTCCCTGAAAACTTTTTGTTTTTAATCGACTTTGCTTTCAGTAATATTGGAACAAATGTGTCTCCGTATCCGGGCCGCTCGGCGGCTCCGATGAACGGCGTTTGGCGTTAAACCTCTGCTTTCTTTCAGATCGAGGAGCTGAAGAACGAGAACGCTCTGCTCCGCGCTCAGCTGCAGCAGCACGGCGTGGAGGTGGGCGGGGACGAAACGCCTCAGTGAGCGCCTCGGACGCGGCGGCCCAGAGGCTTCCATCAGGAGAACGGCGCACGGCTCCGACCTTCTGCTTTAAAAAAAAAAAGACCTAAAGGAACAACAAAAAAAACTCCTCCTCTTCCTCGCCTCCGTGTCCGACTGATAAATTGACCTTTTTATGTGTGAAGCTATTAAATGTGAGAAATGACCAACGGCTGCCGCTGTGATCGGGGGGGAGGAGCCTCTCTCCTAAACTGCTCCCGGCGGCCCTGATGAGACGAAGGTTTTTAGTTTTTAGATGAAGGCCTGATTGACGCCTTTCTGTTGACGTAGCTCAGGTAGCAGGATGTGGAGAACCTGCACAGAGACGCAGCACACTCTGCTGGCTGGGAGGGGAGTCACAGGATGTTAAACGGAGCCGCTCCGCCGGCCGCCTGCTGCTTCAGGATTGAAGCGTTAACCCTGACGATTAACGAGCTTCTGTTTACTGACCCCCCCCCCCCCACACACCGTGACGTATAACCACTGGCATGATGCATTCTGACACAATAAAACAAACGTATTTATATCCGAGTGCTGTTTGTCTCCGAAAGGCTCGGAGGTTTTGGGGAAACGTCCTCTGGTCTTAAGATGAAGTGAATGTTTGAACTTTTGCATCGTTTGTTTCTGAAATTCTGTCTGACTCCACCCGCCTCTCCCGTCCTCGCAGACGGGTTCTGGTCCAAACGCACCTTTGGTTCTTCAGGTTTCTTCAGAGGTCATGAGGTCTGAGCCCGATGGTCTCATACGTTCCACCAGGATCAGTGGTCCATCGGCTGCAGATCCACATCATCATCCCTCCCACACCGTGCTCCTTAGGTCCTTCCAAACATGTTTCTGTCCTTCTTCAGATGCTGCTTTGCTGACCTCAGGTCTGCAGCCATCTTGCTCTACAGAGAGGAGGCTTTCTGATTCTGGGTCATGACCTTTGACCTTGGTCATTTCTGGGAAGTTAATGCTCAAAGTGTTGGGATGTGCACTAGAGACTGACATTTTTTCGGGAATCCCACGGGTCACAGGATTCCCGTGGGATGGGAGTCAGTATTAGTAACGATCAGGTGATCGGGACGGTACAGGATTAAACATTAATGGGAGCAGACGGGAGCGGGAGCAAACCGATAGTAACTAGAAAAAAAAACTAGGATCGAAGAAAACAAATCCAGTAGTGGCGCCGCCATTTTGTATTTTTTTTCCCTGAAGCCTACACTATAATGCGAGTCAAAAAAAACTACACGACCCAAAAACGATTTATAATTATTATTCCTTTTACTTTAACTGACCTTTACTACAGTTAGAAACAGGAACTTAACTGAACCTTCATAGAAATTCAGATTCAATGTTTTGGCAGAAATCTTATTGAAGACAACAAGAATGGGAGTGGTGCAGGAGCGGGAGTCATTCTGAATGGGAGCGGGAGTAATTTCAGCAGGAGCGGGACGGGACAGGATTTAGATTTCTACTCTGGCCCGGGATCGGGACGGGACAGGATTTTTTTCTGTGGGAGTGGGACGGGACAGGAGTGAAAATCCACTGCTGTGTCAGTCTCTACCGTGCATTACTGGGGAGGCTGGCAGCTGTGAGAGCTGTTCTCTCTGCAGGATGATGGACATAAGATGGTCTTATAGCGCCTATATATATATACACACCAAAAGTCAATAATTTCCCTAGTGTTGCACCAATTCCAGTATCGAACGGGGCCCCGATACTGCCCTAAAATGGTGGTATCGGTATCGGCGAGTACCAACTAATAGGGCACCGATGCCATTCTGAGAGCCTAAAGTTTCTTCCGCTATTGTCACCCATTCCAGGTAGGAAATAAAAAGTTCTACTGGATTCTCTTTGTTTTAGTCTTTTTCCTGCTTCACAAAGGAAGGCAGCAGCTTGACATGAAGCCATGATGGTGATTATTTTACATCCAAGTAGTCTGCAGTTCTTCATAGATACACACAATTTCAAATTGATGGTATCAGCCGATACTGCACAGCCAGGTATTGGGGCCAAAAAATGGCAATGGAGAGAAATCAGAAATATTTATTCATACTTGTTAACGTTCAAAGCAGGAGGCTTCATCTAGAAGATGATGATGTTTGTTCATCAACTCAGTTATCAGGATTTTATCAAAGAAAATGAATTTAGAGGATTTGGATTGGATTGGGATCTGTGGGAGTGGGATGGGACAGGAGTGAAAATCCACTCCCGTCTCAGTCTCTATCTGGCACCTCAACACCATCATGGACATGAAAGACGACTGGATGTCTTTTAGAAGTAAAGAAGCTGCAGATGACATTCAACTGACTCCAGGATCCATGAGGTCTGGTGGTGAAGGTCCACTCCAGAGTGATGTTGTGCTTCTCTGCCTGATAGGAGCTCTGAGTCACATTCACTACAAATGTTGCTGCTGAAGAGACACAGAGAGGAAGAGAGCAGCAGACACACTGAGAACTAGGACTGGGATATGGCCAAAAAAAAAAAAATCTTGCTTTTTTTTGGTCATCTTGGACGATTACAATTTTGATTGATTCTAATTAAAGAATTAAAAACTATATGCATCTATTTGAAAATTGGTTTACTTTATTAAAAATATATTGAGCACAACATCCATCACAAGCTTCTTCTGTATGCAGATATGTTGGTCATTCTAACTAAACCTGAAGAATCTGTTCCCATTTTATTAGATTGTATTGAAGATTTCACATTATTGTCTGGATATAAAGTAAACTGGGATAAGTCTGAAGTTATCCCCATGTCTGGACACTGCCCCTCCTCTCTATATAAAAACTGGAGATTCTGTTAGTCTACCAAAAGTATTAAATATTTGGGCATACAGATCACCTCTGATTATAAGAATATGGTTAAAATGAAAACCGGCCCATTGATTGGAAAAATAAGAACTGACTTTGGTAGATGGTCTAAAATTCACTTGTCCCTGTTGGGAAGGATTAACTCTATTAGGATGATGACAGCCCCAGTTGTTTTCTATCTCCTCCGTAATATTCCTTTGCATATTCAAGACTCTTTTTTCAAAGAGCTAAATGCCTTAATATTGGATTTTCTATGGGGTAAATCCCATCACCGTCTGAGTCTTAAAAAGTTACAAGCGAGTCCTGACAGAGGTGGTTTTTCCTTACCTAATAAAAAAAAATGGCAATGGAGCGATATATATATATATATATATATATATATATATATATATATATATATATATATATATATATATATATATATACAGTAATTAGTTTTATCCAGACAATTCATTTCTTTGTGGTTGGACTCGGTGCTGCCCCAACTTGTTGCTCACCACATACCAAAATAAAATAAATAGTTTTTCCAGATGATGCAAAGTTAAATTTGGCACCATTACCATTAGTTATAAATAAAGTTTAAGGAAGTTTTCATCCAGAATTGTAGAAAATTGTTCCTTTAATAGAGTAGAGCAGTAAAGCTTCTGGCCTTAACATTTATTGCTGCTTTACTTTTACTTTTATACTTTAAGTAGTTTTAAAAATCTTACTTTTAAACTTTCACTGGATCCTCTAACTTCTACAAACAAACTTTTATCCAGTAGGATTTAGAATAGAGGAATAAACATTAATACTCGGACACCTCGGGTCTCAGACGGATAATTAAAACTCCTTCCTGTTTTGCTACGTTGCCTGGATACGGCTTCGTTCCTGTTGCTATGGAAACGTCTACCCGGGACGCGGAAACGAAGCGAAGAGAAGTTTCTGGATCGCCGGTGAGTAAAAAAAATTGCTGAAAATGAGCAGTTCGGGTCCAGTTTAGGAGGATTGTGGAGTTCTGGGAACCGTTTGGACCCAGAAGCTGTTCAAATGAGGGAAGTTCCGAAAAGTCCACTTTTCAGGTCAGGCTCACTAAAATATTACTGCTATTAACATTTACCAAACATGAATCAAACCACCAAGAACTGAACAGAGAGACTGAAAGGTCTGGTTCTCCTGAAGAAAATTCAAGCAAGTGATGAGTTGTATGGAAGCCCTGAAAGGCCGGTAAAAAAAATAAATAATAATAATAATTACAAACCGAAATATTATAGTTGTTTTTTTTTCTTTTTTGTTAAGGCAAATGGGGAAAACGGTAAAGACTAGAAAAATAAATAATTAGTGTATTTTTGTTTTATTGAGCCCTGATCTTTAAATAAAAAAAGGAAAATCTTATTTCCAAAGTGTTCCTGGTTGTTATTGTAACACTTTGCTCTGCACATGAGTAAACCCAGAGATATTCACTTAAAGACGGATTCTTCAAATAAATAGTCAAAAGGATTGTTCCTCAAAATCCTGGTTTCTTATTTAAATAAGATTGTAAAAAAAAAAAAAAAAATCTATTATATTGGAGGCACATAAACTGCATTTTTTCTTCATGTTATTTTGGTATCATGCTGAGCTGATGTTTTCAGCTGCAATATAGAATTTATTTTTTCTCGACAATTTGGTTTTAGCGTAACTGACACCTCACAAAATATTAAACAGTGAACAGAAGATGAACTTTACAGCATGATTGGGTCAGAGATGTTCACAGGTTCACTAGTGACCCTACCTTCAAAGACTTGCCTTGAACTGGCAAATGTCTCTGTTTAAAGCAGTTTGAGATTCTGGACCTGAATCAGGAAACTTTCAGGAACCCGAACCGCCTTCAGAACCTGTGGTCTGTCCTCCAACATGAGGAGGACGGGGTGAACATCGAAGTATTAGAAATAAAAGGTTCACACAATAAACATCGATCTGATACTTAGACCTAAAGCTTTAAAACAAGCCAACTTTATTTTTGAACATCAGTGTCTGAAGAACATCTGATAAAATGGAATCTAGGCGGAAGTTCAACTGAAGAAACTAATTGCTTTCCTTCATCCCACTGCGACGCATCAGCTTTGAACCACATCTCCACAAAAGCCAATCGGCATCCGACGTTAATCTTAAAAGGCCTCCGATACGCACCTGTCTGCTCCTCGTTTTAACCCCCCTCCAGCCCCTCCCCCACCATCGTAGCTAAAGCTTCATCAGAGCGTCATCATTCCTCTGAACTCTTACTGTGTTCCCTGTCTCATCTTAACCGGTCCAGCAGAAGACCGCCATGTTGATTCTGGTTCTGCCAGAGGTTTCTTCCCAACAGGGAGTTTTTCCTCTCCACTGTCGCTTAATGCTTGCTCATCTTG